ATACTAATATACTAATACTAATAATAATGATAAGAACAATAAAAACGTGAAGGAGAAGAAAAGGGAAAATGAGTCCTCAGATGTGCACAGCCAGATTCAAACAGGACACCTCTCTTAATCATTACTGTTTACGCGTGTAATTTCCACTCCTCCATTTGGAGAAGTCCAAATTTCCTTTCTCCAAAAATGTACATAAGATTGGAAAATGGAGGGGAGTTAGGCAATTAGAAAGATGATTTTAGTAAACGAGTTTTCCATTTTCCATTCTTCTACCTCCCTAATTCTCTGTTTTTTCAGAAAATTCTCCATTTTTCCAATTTAGTAAACGACCCCTAAATTTTTTCATAAATGGGGTATTCCAAATTCATAGCAGTGTTTTAAAAACAAGTCAACCAAACAATAACAATCACTTTCACACCCTTTGTATATTTGATAGTAGGGTGGAATTGGAATGATTACTAATATTGATGTTTTCACACAAAATCAACCTTTAATAATAATAATAATAATAATAATAATAATAATAAATGTTGTGCATTGTAGCAATATAGAAAATGCACAACTGCAGTAGGGTAGGGTTATTTATTTATTTTTTTTAAATGGTCACCTCTCATGCATGCATGTATGCACTATTGATCCTGCAGGGCTACAGCCCGCTACAATAACCTTATCTCCATTTTATTGTTTTGGTCCCCTCGTAGGAGCCTTTCGATATATCATTAATTTGAAAAATTCATGAATGTTTTGCAGAAAAAAATAAAAAACAAATCTAAGTATAAAATCTCTTACATAAAACATGTAATATATTTTGTTAACTTAAAACGTAATATTTTTTTTTATAAATTCATAAAATAAAATAAAAAAATAAAAAAAAAACATTACATTTTAATTATGTAAGATGTTTTGACACAAGATTTACTTAGCCATAAAATTAAAGGTATGCAGGAATTGCATGCTCGATCTGTACATTTTGATTTTTGATGCTCGTGGTGGTGTTGCATTAATTAATAATGTTGTGTCCCTACTCCCTACAACTGAAATGGATATAACATATTAACATATCTTACTCCTCGTACAACACCAGATTTGGTTCGATACCCTTTAGTCTTTGCCCAAACAAATTTGATGTTGTAGTTGTACATGGCCACACCAGATCCAATATAATGCTGCCGACTTCAAAATTAACTTTAGATTACGTATAAATGTGTACATTATATTCATACGGTAATAGAAGAATGAATTGGGTTAAGGCTATATGTGTTAATTAGTTGCACCCTTGTGCCTTTATATATTCCAGTACGTATTAACTCAACCACTTTGTCTTTTAAATATGGGTCTTATTGACTTGATTGAATGAGCAAATTTTCAAAATCGTCCTCCGCTTATGGCAAGTCTTTTCTCAAATTGGTCAGATGACTTTTAATTGAATTCAAATGGGTTCTCCAATTATTAAATTTTAAGTCAAATTGATCCTTCGTTAGTTAGGTGTGAACTTGGCCGTCAAATTATAGGGCAAAACAAGAAATTTACAGTGTATAATGTTTAGACTACCAGCGCCTTTTGATTTTTCTACCAAATTAGTGAATGAATTGTCGAAACTTGACGAATTCTCAGTAAATTGTAAATTGTGAATTTTCTCTAAATTTTATTTTGCCCTTAGTAAATTGTACAATTCATTCGCTAATTTGGGAGAAAAATCAAAGATTTTGGTGTCTAAACATTATTCAATGTAAATTTTCTGTTTTGCCCTCTTATTTGACGGTTAAGTTCACGCCTAACTAATAGAAGATCAATTTGACTTAAAATCTAATAGTTGGATGACTAGTTTGGGTTCAATTAAAAGTCATAAGATCAATATGAGAAAAGACTATAGTTAGAGAACTATTTTAAAAATTTCCTCTGATTGAATTGATAAGTTATGATTACAATTGAGTTATTTTTTCCATTTTTTGGGGCCTAACGTCGCTTCTTTTATGAAATGGTCATGGCAACCGACCAAAAAGGGCCAAATTTAAAGGATTAATTAACCTTTTCTACTTATGGCCTGAACTTTTTTAATAAGAAACTCTCTCTTTTCCTCTCTTTTTTTCTTTAAACAAATATTATGTTATTATTTGTCCTCATTTCAATGTGAACATAAACGGAAGAAAAAGTTTCTGAACGCATACAAGTGTCACCTAGCGCTTAATTAGCCTTAAGTCTGTCTGGTCCATATCAAAAAAGCTGCCCTAAACTCATCCAGAAAGAGAGTTACTAACTGCCATCCATAGTGCTCGTTGACTAGACTTTAATTGTTTTTAGCCTTTTAATTAATTAATACACAGTTTTTTTAGTACTACTTAATAGACAGTTAATATTTCATAATTACAACTAACAACTATTAATAATAAAATAATAACTATAATCTATTTTACGTTGAAAGTAATTGACCGATGATCAACACAACTGGTAAAAAAAAAAGTGTAATGCTATAGAAATGAGAAGAAATAGTATATATATATATATATATATATATATATATATATATATATATATATATATATATATATAGTACTATTGACTCAGTTACAATAATCTATCTATTTATATCTGTTTATTCCATGCCACTAGACCACAAGATCATTATCAAAGAAATAATATAGTATTATTGCTTGAAGTGGAAAATATATATTGTGAATCCTTTACAAGTCATTTTCAGTATATTTATACCGTTCAAATATCAATTAAGGTACTCAAACTAAATAAGAAAAATATGCTTATAAAACGTAAATCCCACGAATCAAATGTACTAATCGCAAGTTGATATTCTAAAATGTAAAAAAAAAAAAAAAAAAAAAAAAAGCAATCTCCTAAATTATAAAGAAAATAATCTCCTAAAATTTGTCTAAGATATCCTAATTTACCTTCAAGTTTCAGGCAGTAGCAAGCTTGTTATGACCTCAAATTATATGGTGGGTTTAGGTCCACTATGCCTATTGTGATTCTGGTTCAGATTATGTATATGCAATTAACATACTATATATTATAAGTTAACCGATTATTTACGTGTAAATAAACTATATGTATATAATATGTTAATTGCAACATATGCATAATCTATTTATTGAATGTACATAAATATGATTCGGGACCTTGATCTATGATATAATGATTATGTATGTTCTGACCACATAGCCCAAGTCTAACTATTTGGCAAATTACGATTCACACCGTTCCACGGTCTTAAACGACGTTGTTTTGATGTTTTAAAAAATCATTGCTCCACGCGTGTGTTATAATAATGAACATTCTAGGGTAAGATAGTGTACGTTATGAGTTCGAGTAATGTATTTTATATGTGTTATAATAATGAAATTTATGGGGTAAGATAATATATTTTATGAGTTAGAATAACGTATTTTATAAGTTACAATAATGTATAATGTACTTTATATGTTAGAACAATAAATTTATAAGGTAAGATATGAGATAGAATAATGTACTTTATGTGTTAGAATAGTGTATTCTATGAGTTAGGACTTAGAATAATGTATTTTTGTATTTTTTGGATTATGGTCCACACAATAATGATTTTAGTTGTTTGGACTAATAGATCGAATATTGGATTGCAAAAGACCTTATGATCTAGTGGCACCAAGTTGTTCTCCCACATAAAAGGTTGTGAGTTCGAGTTGCAGACACTGTATATGCTGATACCCAACCCATCAATATTAATTAATCATATAAAAAAATCCTCCTTAGAAAATGTTAATTAAATTTAGTAATTTTATATCTACGAATTATAAATCAGCAGCCTCTAACATATACCGTATAATTTTAAACTACGCCAAGTTTTGTGATAATAGATATTATTTAATGTCTTTCAATTGGTGCGATTAGTTAGTATTAGACTAATCCTCACCAAAAAAAAAAAAAAAAGTTAGTATTAGACTAATAGTCACTTGTAGCATTATTTGTCTTTTATTATTGAGTAATAATAATAATTAATAAAAGATACTCCGTATTTAATTACTTGACAATAATAGGTTAGGTACAACATATCTTTTGGTGTCATATCTCATCATCATTATTGTTTATTATTATACCAATATTATTTATTATTATTTAATTCCACGTATACAATGCAAGTGAATACTGCATGATAATTTTAAATAGGGGAAATGATTAAATAGGCAAATTTTACTTGAAAAATTAATTAGATCTTTAAACTTTTTAAAATTATAATTAGGTATATATATATATATATGTGTGTGTGTGTGTGTGTGTGTGTGTGTGTGTGTCAATTAGTTTATGAAGGCCCAATTACTTGTTAGTGACATATAATACCAGGTCACTAAAATTTTCAGGGCATTGTTAGAGAAGGCGTGACCATCTCCAGCGACCAAATTCCCAGGGACGGAGATGTGAATTTTTTTTTTTAAACATACTATAAGAGCAACAACAATGACAAAAACTTAAAAGGAAATTTTTGTCAGGCCAACAAGAAGAAAGGGAAAAAATGTTTTCTTTTTCAACGCGCCTAACAAACATGTGAAAGGCACTCGCTTGCTGGGAGCACAAGTCATGCTCCGAGCGTTACTTGTTTTTTTTCTTCTTTATCTTTTTTATTTTCTTTACTATAGTTGCCCCCACCCTCCCCCAAAAAAAATTAATTTAAAACTACTCTATCTCTCTTATCTTCAATCTATATATGCAAACTTAACAAAAAAAATCTATTTTTTCATCAATGAAGATGCTCTAGCAAAATTTAGAGAATAAAAGAAAAAGAGAGAGAGTTAACTTCGAAAATAATTAAAGGAAAATAATCGTGTCTATATTTACTAAAATGATTTTTTAAAAAATAGTTTCGAGGACAAAATTTATCAAATTTTTTCAATATAATATACTCCGTATATAATATCTTACCTAGAATTTTTTGAAAAAGGAAAAAGGGAAAAAAAAAAAAATTGAAAGCGAGGCAGGGAAAATCCATCGAATAGTGAACCGTCCACGCACGCGTTTAAAGAGAAGGCTTCCAGTTCTCACGTGCTAGCCGGACTGGGATTCGAGTACGGTCGTGCACGTGTCCAAACTTCTCCCAATGCTCTAATCCAGGTGTTCTCTCTATCCCTCTTTCTCCCCTTACAATATTTTTACTTTTCTGTTCGATCTCCAATCGGTTTTCCACGGAGGCTTCTCCTTCCCCTATTAGCTACTAGGCAGAGATCGTTTTTCAGCTTTTACTTTCCGGGAGATTTTATTCGCCGGAATCAAAAAACCACCGGTACCGTTGGTTGATGAAGTTGAGCAACTTCCGCGGAATGGAAACGGAGGTTCAATCGAATTACACTTACATGGGACGAAGCTTCAGCGATCTCAGCATCAACGATGATTCTTCGGCTTTCAGCGACTGCAACAGTGATAGATCCGGCGAGTTCCCGACGGCTTCTTCGCAGAGTCGTCGGCTATTGCTGGCTTGCGCCACCGATAACTCCGACGAATTGATTCCTCAACTTGTCTCCGATCTCGATTCGAGCTCAATCGATGCGATAAAGCAGGCAGCAATGGAACTCCGGCTCCTTGCGAAGAACAAGCCGGAGAACAGAATCAAAATCGCCAGAGCCGGAGCAATCAAACCGCTTATTTCACTAATTTCGTCCACCGATCCTCAGCTTCTAGAATATGGCGTTACCGCAATTCTCAACCTCTCGCTCTGCGACGAGAACAAGCAGCTCATCGCGGCTTCTGGAGCAATCAAGCCGCTCGTTCGGGCTCTTAAAGTAGGCACCTCCGTCGCCAAAGAGAACGCCGCTTGCGCTCTTCTCCGCCTCTCGCAAATTGAAGAGAGCAAAGTAGCAATTGGACGGTCCGGCGCGATTCCGCCGCTAGTAAGCCTTCTAGAAAACGGAAATTTACGCGGCAAAAAGGACGCATCAACGGCTCTATACTCGATTTGTTCAGTCAAAGAAAACAAAGTCAGGGCTGTGCAAGCCGGAATAATGAAGCCTCTAGTGGAATTAATGGCTGATTTTAGTTCAAACATGGTGGATAAGTCAGCGTTCGTTGTGAGCGTCCTGGTGTCGGCGGCGGAGGCGAGGGCGGCGCTGGTTGAGGAAGGCGGAATTCCGGTTCTGGTGGAGATCGTGGAGGTGGGGTCGCAGCGACAGAAGGAGATTGCGGTGGCGATACTGTTGCAACTATGTGAGGACAGCGTGCCATATCGTACCTTGGTGGCCCGCGAAGGTGCGATTCCTCCTTTGGTCGCTTTGTCGCAATCCGGCACAAGTCGCGCCAAACAAAAGGTAAAAAAAAAAATTAATCATCGACTGCAGAAATCATTTTTTATTGCTATGCCAAATCGATTCATTTAGTTTGATCTGATGAACGAAAATGAAAAAAAGCCAGATCAGTTTATCATTTGATTCCTTGATTGGTCGGTAAGTTAAGTGGCACCGGCATTCACTTAAACAAATCCCCAATTATTTAAATAAACAATGCCTTAAATTAACATTAGCAATTGATTATTGTGATGTATGTAAATGACTCGTGCGTTTCTGTCGTTTTTGGTGGCTTGATCTGTGGACAGGCGGAAGCACTGATTCAACTTCTACGGCAGCCGAGAACAGCCAGCGCCGTTGCTCGCGGAACCTCTGATCATTCAGTCTGAGACGGCGGCGCCCCCACACGCCGCCATTGCAATCAAACAGTTGAAGAAAGCAGTAGAAAAGAAAGAGAGAGAACATCAAGATAGAGAAAAAAAACAAAAACTAAACTGTAAATACTTCCCATGCCTGTAACTTGTAACTCATCTTTTGCTTGTAAATTTTCGCTTTGCCTTCAAATTTGGTTTTCTTGCGATTTTGGGTTTGTTATTCGGTGCGTGTCAATGTGTGGATACATTTTTTTTCCTTTTTAACGTAATTATGATTCCGTTTTTTCTTTTCGGAAGAAACGTACAAAAAGTAAATGTATTGTGTAACGCTCCGTATGTGTTATATTCACCATTACGGAAATGAAATCATAATCCTCACCCAAATATTGTTTACTGAAAAGTTGTTTATTAAATAATTATTAAATTATAAATTCAATTGAATTTTTGACTATCTTGAATTGAATTTTGAACTAATCAATTAAAAGTAATTTTAATGATTTACTTACTTGTGAGTTGTGATTTTTATTGATTAATATTATAAAACAGACTTTATATAAAATATATATTGTGATAGTGACAACAAACTTATCATAAATTAAGATAATTAAAATCATATTACTGTTTGTGCACTGAAAAGTAAAAATAAAGAGGAAACCCTTTGGCACGACAGGGAGAGCGACGTTCCACACAAGTGACATCATGTTAGATTGTTATCTAGGAGAAATTGTTTGGCAAATCTTGCTCCACTTGTAAACAGTCACCGTTGAGCCTACGGAACACATTGCAGATGTGATATCTCTATTCAAACAATAAAGGGATGGTTTCGGTGGATTTTAGCCTTGGGATTCTTATCGCTATACAGTACAGTATTACTTCTTTTTTTTTTTTTTTTTTTTTTTAAATACTGCATATTACATATTATTACAATAATTTTCCAAAAAAAAAGGAGATATTTTTGTAACATTAAATATCTTTTCTTTTTTCAATTTTTCATATTTCCTCTTTTTAATTAAAATAAAAAACTATCATGAAATTACTGCGAACTATGTAAGATTGTACGCACACCATCTGACGATGTGAGCAAGGTGACATACTTTTTCAGTTTTCACATCATTAAAAAAAAAATCAAAGTGTATTGTAAATCGTTGTAATTTTTTTTTATATATATTTATAGAAATGGGGATACTCTATTACATCAAATGGCTTCATTAATGGGTAATCACGGTGGATTACATCCCCCGGGATGATAATGAGGCGGCAAACTGGCTAGCAAGAGAAGCTCCAAGAAGACGCTGCGATTGGATGGAATTTCACCAACCATCAAGACAACTGTGTGACGGTCTGAGTGCAAATAATGGCTCTAATGTGTATGCTAACGCAAATTTCTAACGCTAGCTAGGTAACCGCCCCCCCCCCCCCCCCCCCCTATATATCCCTAAATAAATGGCTCCATTAAGGCTCAAATCTATCACCTCCCACATTGGGGAGTAACATGGTACTATTGGACTACAAGGCTCTTCGTAAATTGTTGTAAATTTAACATCATTAATCTTGCGAGATCCAAATTTTTTAAAGGAAAAAAAAATATGTAACTTTAGTTACTCAATTATTTTTTGCTAACGATTTTAGTCTCTAACTTTTTACCGTTGCAATATATACCCCTAATTCTTTAAAAATGTTACAGTTTTAACCCTGTAGCAACAAAACTATTAAACTCTATTAAAATTTTACTTAGTACATGAGTATTTTAGTAGTTTTTAATGTTTATTTTTTAATTATAATATTGTTTAGTCTCAATAATTCATTTATAAAATAAAATCATGACTTTATCAAGGTCATGTTGGGAAAATAGAGACGATGTGCCGCATTGAAAATGAAAAATTTAATGAAGAATTAAGTATATAGACTAGCGTTATTACAAAGTTGTAAATATTTATTTTAGTGACAATTATAATCAATCTTTCATATATTATCTTGCATTTATATACTTTAAATTATCGATTTAAATAAACAAATTTAACATTTATTTACCTATGCATGAACATCTGCTATATAATATTGCATTGATACACTTTGAAATATTTATTTAAAAATAATTATTGGTCATTATTCTAAAAACTAGTAATAAAATACGGAGTAACATTTTAGGAGCGTAACAACCTTAAACAAGGCTGCTCTAATCCTGAATCTATATATATTTCAGGAAAAAGAATGTTACAATAATAATGTGTTCCTCCTCAGATCTACAGTACACAGTACACACACAAAAAACATATCGGATGCAGATTCGTATCGTTCTCCTCAACAGACAAAACTCGCCGTCTGCAGCGAACATCGTTGGCAGGGAGCATGATTTTCACACATCACATGTGCATTGCCCTGTGATGTGCCTCTTTCAATATTTTAAATTTTCTGTGTTTTTTTGCATCTCTCTCTCTCTCGCCCCAGCCAATGTACGAAGGCAATAGTCTGCATGGGCAGTTTAGTTTATCACATGTGAAGTTTAAAAGCAATGAACTCCTTGTACGCAGTAAACAAATGTATAACTTCTATGTTCTGAGTTACCACCATAAATTACATTATCTCAAATGCTATATTATATCGGGGAATAAGGTTCAAATTGGCCACTGAACGTAACCTGAAAATGCAATTAGGCCACTGAACGAACAAAAAGTGCAATTAGGCCACTGAACATCCAAAAAGGGGCAATTAGGCCACTGAACTCTCCAAACGTATGCAATTTCACCGTATAGCAGGTTACCATCAATTTTAGCAGGTTACCTGCTTACGTGGCAGCTGAGTTGACATTTTTAATAATTTTTAAATAATTTTTAATAATTAATTTTAATAATAAATTTTATAAAAAATTGAAAAATAAATAAATAAAAAATAAAATAAAGTCGTTTTTATTTTTTAAAAATTTTATAAATAAAATTTTATTATTAAAATTTATTAAAAATGATTTAAAATTTATTAAAAATGTCAACTCAGCTGCCACGTAAGCAGATAACCTACTAAAATTGAAGGTAACCTACTATCAGGTGAAATTGCACATTTTTGGAGTGTTCAGTGGCCTAATTGCATTTTTTTTTGTTCAGTGGCCTAATTGCATTTTCAGGTTACGTTCAGTGGCCAATTTGAACCTTATTCCTTATATCGGGGCGCAGAGACCCTTGAGATTAGAAATTCAACCTTTTGGAAACAATGTATGAACACAACAAATCTGTCATTTCCCGCTCTAATTCGCGTCATGTTTGTCATTGAGTAAATTACCAAAATGGTCCTTCGACTATAGCGAAAGTACTAAATTGATCCTCGATTTATTTTTTTGACCGATCAAGTCATCAACTATTCAATTTATGACCGATATGGTCCTCTGTCTGTTTGGGGGTTAAGTCCACCGTCTACTGTGAGGGCAAAATAGTCATTTCAATCCCCACAGCTTCCACCATTGCCACCGGTGATTGAAAAGACTATTTTCCCCTCACAGTAGACAGTGACTTAACCCCCAAACAGACGAAGGACCATATCGGCCATGAATTGAATAGTTGATAACTTGATCGGTCAAAAAAATAAGTCGAAAACCAATTTGGTACTTTCTCTATAGTTAAGTGACCATTTTGGTAATTTACTATTTGCCTTTCTCGATTGTCAAAATCACGGCGTGAAGTTCGTGTTATGACGGAAACAGAACGGAATAAATGTATAAATGACAATTGATGTTAACGCTTTGGCATTCAAAACTCATTTCGCTCTCGAGCCTGGAGCACACGAAAGAAGGTTTCTTACTTGTATTAGACAAACAAAAGTGAACTGCGGGTCCATAGCATAATTTGCCGAGAATCAGGCTAAAGACCAACCACTGCCCAAAAAACTCAAACCCAAATCTTCAACTTCCTCATTTCGGATTTAAAAAATAATAAAAAAAAATTTCCTCATTTCGGATCGAATTGAGTAAAATGAGCCCACGGCCCAAGGGCCCAGTTAGTCAACACGGACTAACAGTAAGAAATTCTTCAAGTGGTCCAGACTTTCGAACCATTGAATTCTCCATTCCGACAATTGAGCCCGAGTGATAAAATGAGCCCACTGCCCAGAATTGCGCAAATTATGCTGTGCATCCGTATGCACCAGATGCAAAAACGACATCGTTTTGATTAAAAAACGCGCGTTCTACTTAAAAAAGAAATCAGTTTCGATTCCCGGCAATAGCATTTTTATATATCCATAAATTCATAATTATATATCCATAAATTCATATCTGTATGTCCACAGTGAATAAATGAAGTAAAAATCCACAATGAATGAACTAAATATCCACAATGAATGAACTAAATATCCATAAATTCATAACTATATATCCAGAAATTCATAACTATATATTCACAGTGAATAAATGAAGTAAATATCTACAATGAATGAACGAAATATCCACAATGAATGAACTAAATATCCAGAAATTCATAACTATATATCCAAAAATTCATAACTATATATCCACAATAATGCTATTGTCGAGAATCGAACCCAATTTTTTTTTTTTAAGTGGGACGCGAGTTTTTAGTCAAAATGACGTCGTTTTGCATCGTATGCGCCATGCATGGTGCATTCGTTTTTTTTTTTTTTTTTTTTTTTTTTAAGTGGGACGCAAGTTTTTAGTCAAAACGACGTCGTTTTGCATCGTATGCGCCATGCATGGTGCATTCGGTTGCACAACATAACTATTGCCAGAATTGGCCTAATTATATCATAAACAAAGGTGCACATTTAATTATCGACCATTTTTCAAAATGACATTTAAATTATATATTTGCAGTTAATATATTGTGTATATAGTCAACAGATAATATGTTTGTAAATAAATTTGAGACACATAATATGTTAACTAAATGCTATTACTTTGCCGACACATTATATGCAGTTTATTTTGTATGTGTCTGCAATTAACATATTATGTATATGTAGTTAAAAGATTATGTATCTTTAATTTATTTATAAGCATATAATGTATTAATTGAAGACGCATAATATGTTAACTGCAAAAACATAATTTTGAATTGATTGTCCAAATTGGGCAAATTGTATTGTGGACTATAAATTAGACAAACTATTAACTTGATTAATGGATAAGTGGAGTCTCCAGTGTCAATGGGAGAAGAACTCTTTTAGAATGTCACTATATATGTAATAATAATGTATCAATAATATTTAATAATAATAATAATAAAAATCTTGGTATGGGTTGTTACATAATGTTAATAAATGAAATAATACAAAATTTCAACATCTGAACATAATTTGCAGGGTCACAAGGTGGGCTGCTGCATCTTCTGGTAGTGGCCAATGTCCATTCCATTGTAGGCAATTGGAGCATACATCCACATATCATCTGAGCTTAGTAACTGCAACACCAAAACCATAACTTTTTTCAGTTAATTTATATACCAAATCAAAAAACAAAAAAAAAAAAAAAACCTCAATCTTTTATTTATTCAATCTGTTACCTTAATTTGAAGCTGTAGGAACTTGACATAATGAACAGCCTCCTCAAGCATAGTACTAATGTCAACCTTTGTTCCATTGGGTACGAGGTTCTGCAATATTCTCAATCTTTCATTTATTTTTTCCCTTCTTCTCTGCAACATATCAAAAACATTTGTAAGCTTATGAATCACACATTCATAGAATTACTGTCTGAAATATGATGTTATTCTGTATTTATATATATATGTATATATACCCTTGCATATAAGCTTTGAGGATCTGTAGCAGCCCCTCTGCTGGCCCTTGATTTTCCTTTGGACTCTGAACTCTCCATCCCACCGTTAGATTCATCATCAATGCTGCTACAGCTTGAGCTCTGTGTATTCTGTCCACCATTGATTTCCTCTCCTTCATTGCTGTTGTGACTAATCTTCTGGTTTTTCTTCGATTTCGACACTGCCTTTCTCTTGTTCTTATGTGTCTGCAACCAGAAAATATGACCCTTAAGAAACCTGACAGAAAATTATTGTTGCAGAATGTCTGAAATCTGAATTGAAGTACTTACCTCTCTTGAAGCCTGAGGCTTTTTCCTGGGATTTTGAGCTGAATCATTCTTGAATGTTTGCTGTTCTTCTACTCTCTCCAGCTTCCTCTTCAAGCTGATAACTTCTCCAGGTTCAGAAACAGTATTGTTCTCAGAATTGGGATCATCACCATTGCCACTTTCTTGAGAAAAATACTGCAAATTATTGGTGTTGATGATCATAGGAGCATCAGAACAGTTAGCAGAGAAAAAACCCTCTGTTACATTGATCAGCTTGTTAGCTTCAACAGCTTGCCAGAACGACAATGGAGCTTCATTTTCATGATCATTCAAGAAAAAGTTATCATCTTGGAGCTGAACCAGAAAATCAACGTTTTCGGTAGAGAACATCTTGGTCAAAGAATCCCATTCTTCATCAAAGAAAGCAGCTCCTTCAAGCTCCATTATAATGTTTTCTTTTTCTTTTTTGAGTGACAAAATATGTTTTTTTTTTTTTTGGTTCTGAGGAAAACGGGAAAGTGGAGACATATTTATACCCAGAACCAGAAGGCCAGAATTCCAGAAGTGTCTGGGAAGAATTGGGAGATTATTGTTAATTAATACAATTAAGTGAGCATTTGACTTGATTTGTATAATAATTAATTTTATAAACTCCAAATGATTATTTTATGAGTGAAAGGGTCCTAAATTTTTATAATTAATTGCAGGAGTCCACTGTGGGGCAAAAAAACCAGGCAAAGTACAACTCATAGGGGGCAAGTTCAGGCAATGATGTAATAAAATATATGAAAATAAATTTTATAATATTAATTAAATGAGTTTTTGACTAAACTGAATAATTCTATAATTTATTCTTTTATAAATTAGTAATACTATTCCAAACGTTATGCACTTATGCAGTGTCTCCGGCAATGCGAGAGGTATTTTCGAATAGCCCGAAAAGATGGTTTAAGTGGATAGAACATAATTCACCTATTTGAATTTTATAAATTTGATTCTTATTAACATGGTTAAGCCCGTCGAACGGATTGTTCTAATACGATTTACATTTTTTGTATTGTATGCAGACCATTACATAAAAGTAAAATGTATCTCGTATACACCATAATATAATAATTGCGGGTTTTTCTTATTAAAAAAAAAACATAAAATATATAGTCCATTAAATGGCTTAAACAGTTAATTAACTTGGTTTAATATGCATTATGTACGTTAAGACTGTTGGTTAACTGTCTCAATCTAATGATTGGATCGTCATGTTTAGCATGACTAGTCCATGGCCGACAACCAAGTTTAGTTTAATTATTAGGAATTTTTTTTGAATAATTTTATTATTAGGAATATAATTATAATTACTTACTTTATCACATTTTATAGAGTTAATTCCACCGGAGGTCCCTTGTCTTTTGTGGCAATTTCAAATTTAGTCTCAGACTATCGTTTTTGTTATATTACACCTTAGACTATTGTTTTTTGGACACTTTTAATCCTTTTCATGATTTTTTCTATTTTCAATAAGAGCATTTTTGTTTCTTCATATTTTTCTTTTGTTATTTTTCCGATTTTAACCAATTTAATTGGTTTCCCCATCTTCCATTGTTGGTTGTGTCCTTTTGCCCATTCCCATAGAACAATTGTAGTCCCATCATGGACACCCCCATGATCTGGATCACCATGGAATGCATCCATATTGAGGCGAATGTTGTTAACCATTCTGATTGCTTTATACCCATCACCTGTCTCCTTGCTTTGCGTCCACAATATTGATTCATCAAGATAGTCGGGATTGTATGGAATGAGTTGCACATGAAATTAACTCTTAAATAATTATATAATGAATTGCACCTGAAATTAACTCTTAAATAAATATATCGATTTAAATATTCTTAATATATTACAATAATTCCATTCCGTGCATCGCACGGGTAAAAATACGAGTTATGTTAAAAGTTGTATCAAATTTATAATGTTCAATTCCTCAAGATTTTACCTTCCTTGGGTAAGGAACTCCAATAACATTGTCCGTAAGAATCTATTGAAGCTACTCCAATATCCTCTCAATTTGCAATATTTTCCGAGCTGAATGCTTCTAGCTAGTAACAAGAAAATCAATAATTTTGTTCTATTCTGATTTGTTAGATCTGGACACGTAGATGATCGCGATGATTATCGAGCAATTCTCTCTTGAGCATGTGGTTCTCACCCGATACGTCCCAACCGAGAATTCAATAGTTGAAATTTTTTTCCAATTTTTGTGTGGACCCTAACATCTAGCTACCTCATCATCGATTATCTCATTCAATTACAAAAACTCTTATCCCCATTAGTTCTAAGTTTTTTTGTTTTTTTTTTAATCCTTTGTGGACCTACCATTATTTTTAAGTAATGGAATAGAGAAAACGTGGTATGTATGTTATGTTAATCTTGAATACTAATTACTAAGACAAGAAAAACGAGTGAGAGAAGGACGGGCATGATCGTGGAGATGAGTATGCATGACGATTTCATCCCGACATAGCAACACCATTGCCTCAATACCTAACAACCGTCAACTTCCAACCACAGAACTTGTTAAAACTACAAACTAATTGTCATCATAAGTATCAGCTACCTAACTAACCCGGCCCTAAAAATGCCTGCAACTCATTCTAACTCTTCCCAACAACCAAAAAAGTGTAAGCGTTAAGTTTGATCTTAATAAGTCGTATCAGAGTAATGTCATGAGACTTAATTCGTTGTGAGCTATATATAATTTTTGAAATAATAATAAGCGCTTGATCATAATAACAATCCCTTATGAAGATCCCAAAAACTGCATTAATCCGACCTGTCATGCTGATGACTGGTGAATGCAGGCCAGACAGCAATCCAATAAACAAACTACCTAATATAATCATCGTATGTGTTCTTGGGAAGCAGGAAAAGTCCATACGTAGTGACAGAACCAAAAGGCAGCTGTGATATCAGTAATTTTATTACATTTAATAAATAATTATTTTCTTTTAAAAATGTCATCCGATCCATATATGAATGAACCCTAGCTAGAAAGCATTACTTAGAGATTCAGATAAGCTGAATTTAGTCACTAATGTGCTCATTCATTCCTTTGATTCCGCCGAAGCTCCCGGCTGAATCAGCATTTTAGCACCAAAGGAAACTAACCATATAGTATGCAACTACCATGTAGTGTGATAAGATCCGAATTACGTACCATTCAAAATGTGTGGTCATCATAAGTTCAAATTTAGATTGGTTGGGATGAAAATGTTTGAGAAAGTATACAACAGATATTATGTACCTTGTAAATAATCATGAGCTAGTATTTCAATAAAAAAAAAAAAAAAAAACTATATAGTATAAGTGTACAACGTAACCACAAGTACACAAAAATATAATAATTCATTAAACAAAATGGATTGGCGTTGTTGGTTTCTGGTACATTTGAAATTTTAGAAATTGAATGATTTTACACCGCCCATGGCACGATCTTAAATTCTTGAAAAATTGAAAAGAAAATGGAAATAATAGTGTACTTTAGAAAAGGAAAATTTTTAATTTTGGAAAATGGAATAAGAGATTTGGGCAACTCTTCAAGAAATCAGATTTTGTTCTCTTGGAATGGCCGGCTTTGCACGACTGATTAGTTTAATTTATCACTTCCAGTTTACCCATTCTTGCCTGACGAAGTTTCCTTGCAGCACCCAACACCCCAACTCAACATAATAATAATAGAGGGATAAATTACGACCACTCAATAATACATCAAAATATCATAAAGTTTCCATTTTGTAGGTTTATATATGATCGACTTAATCAAACTACATGCGACTTTAGTATGAAATCAAGATGCATATATGCATGTCTGTTTAGACGGTTAATTAACTAATTAATATCCTTCAAGGGCTTACCTGAGGACGGTTAATTGTTTAAAATGACAGCATCATGGATATGCATGCATGTTTCATGAACGCAGCACCAACGTTACAGGTATACAGAGATTTAGCTCAGACCAAGATCGAATCAATTCAGAAACCCGGCCAGTAAAAACACGTTGATATTCTGTACCTTGTTGTGGGGGTAATTATTATTGTGTGAGCATAAATAAAAAGTATATTATTTGTGTACATAAAGTACATTATTTTGTATACTATCAAATAATGTACATTTAGTACACAAATAATGTAATTTTAGTATATTAAAAATGTACATTGCATTCAGGAAAAGTACATTATTTGAATAATAAAAGTACATTACTTTGTATAATTTACATTCAGTTCACAAATAATATACTTTTAGTATATTAAAAATGTATTTTTTTTATGGTCTAAATAACACTGTGTAGACCATTGTCCACGCAATAATTTGCGTTATGCGGGGGGAATTAATAATTCTGTGGACCCGGGTCCACCTTGCGAATCCAAATGTTTACAATTTAACTTTTAAAAATTCACAATTTGTATTCTACCAACACACAATGTTAACATATATGTAATTGATTTTTTTTTTTTTGAAAATATATGTAATTGATTACTTTGTTTTGTATTCACAAGTTTCTTTCAAATACTGTAGTCACACAATATTACGAAGTGACATATTAGGATTTGATGACCCTATATTCTATTCACAAATTCCCTTCTATATTTGTTATGTGTTTTGACTTAGAAACACAATTTATATTCTAAAAGTTCATAATTTCAATATTAAAAAGGAAAATACTTGATATACTCTCAACTTTTACTCCCATTTGTGTCTAAATTTAATTGGAGGATGAAACAAAGAAATGAACAAACATCATGCCCCCCTATAAAATTTAGCAATCAAAGCATGCCAAATCATAGGGAGTACGAAATGAGAGTATGAATTGGGAGTACATGTAGAACTACTCTATTAAAAATACAAAATATATATTGTTGGTTTTAGAACTTTTGGGCCCAAGGAGGTCCAACACAACCGTAATTGGTGGATTCACCAATAGAATAAAACTACTCAAAAGAAATGGCTATCAATATCTTTGCATTGCACTTGTACTTTCTGGCGACTCTCTGTTGGCCAAAAAGCTTGCCTTTACATTCTCTTGGGGGTCCTATTTATAGGTAGCCACCCTGTTGGTTTAAATGGGGATATTAAAGTGACATAATGGGACTTATTAAGGCTATTGGCCGTTGGGTGGCCGTTACTAGGCCTCCCCAACGGCCGATTTGGCCATGCATTAAAGGCGGTCATTTAATGACAACGGTCACCTGTTGGGTCAGCCTCTGTCTATGCCGACCATCTACCTGCGCCGCCTCCTTGAAATCGACCCCATGATGTAGATTCTTTTCGTTCTTCTTTCGAGACCTACCTCCGTAGGCCCGATTTCTTGGCCCATCTCTTATTCTCTTCTCAGGCCTTAAGCTCACTGCGTCCACACCCCATCATATCATATACGTCATTTAAAACAACAAGGTGGGCCCTGGTCCACAACTCTTGTACAGGAGTGTGGGCTTTTTTTTTTATTATTTTGGGCCATAAAGCTAGAGGCGTCCATTACTATAAGAATCCAGCCCAATAATTTTTAAGGCCCAACTGCATTTCTTAAACGTTAATAATCAGACACGCAGCATAAGTGATTAGGACTTAGGAGGAAAGGAATAATGGAGATGTGCGAAAAATAATTTAAAAAGAAAAAGATTGGATTTTTAAAATATAAAAAAAAATTATCCACGATAAAATGGAATAATAAAAATGACGTGAAGTGAAGAAGATAATTGTATGGATTCTCAAAAAAATGTCTTGTTGTGATCTGGTGCCGATAAAAACCTACGGCTGATAGGCACCTCAGTCAGTCGTCATCACTGTGTCCCCGGCCATATGCATAAGACCCCCCTCGTGTCAAAAAAAGCTAATATCAAAAGTACAAAACAAAGGACAAAATGAGTCATCGTCCAAGAAAAATCCATATCCAACGGTACCCATTGGGAAACTAAAGTTGCGGAAACTCGGAACAGCTCGCACCCAGAATTTGGAAGCAAAAGCTATGCTTTGATTATGACCTTCACCAACCCCACTACCCACCAATAAAAAATTATGTCACGCCCACAGAGTTTGATTCTTACTAGAAAAAAAGCTTAACTCGATACAAATTAAATTCATTCTGATTTAAAAAATTTATGTCACGCCCACAGAATTTAATTTTTATTATAACTTTTTTAACTCAGATACATATTTAATTCACTCCGGTTTAAAAAAAAAAATTAATTTAAATTTCTTTAACGTGACGTCCTAAATGAATGTGACAATTTTTAAATGTTTTTTTGGGTTGTATAGAGGGGTGCCAACCAAACACTCACTTGACTATGGTTACTTTTTTCTATTAATAAATTTGAGAGGGGAGAGGTCTCTCTTTCACAAGTGTGGAAGAGGGGGAGAGGGGAAGAAAGGCAAAAATCAAAAATGAGCTGCAATGGTTGTAGGGTGCTGCGAAGAGGGTGCGGTGTGAACTGCATCCTTAGGTCGTGTTTGGAGGAGATTGATAACGCTCAAGCTCAGGCCAATGCCACTCTTTTCGTCTCCAAATTTTTTGGCCGGAGCGACCTCATGTCCTTCATCTCCTCCGTTCCCAACACCAGACGACCCGGTACATCTCCGATGACCACTCTTTTCTCCGTTTGTCTTTCCGTTCACTGTTTTTTTTTTTTTTTTGTTTGATTTACTGTTTTGGTTTGATGGCCCAAAAAAAAACAGCTTTGTTTAAGTCGTTGCTGTATGAAGCATGTGGGCGGACGGTGAATCCAGTGAGCGGCGCGGTTGGGCTACTGTCAACCGGGAACTGGCACGTGTGCGTCCAAGCCGTGGAGACAGTGCTCGCCGGCGGCGCGCTGCAGCCGATCGCCACCGAGTTTCTGAGCCCTCCAAGCTTCGACGATGCATCCAGAATCTTCCACGAGGGCGCCTGGAAGATCCCGGAAGTCTCGGTCGTGACGCAGTCCCAGCCGTCCGATCCCCTCAACCATCAAATGCCGGCGGGGAACAAGAAGAAGAAGCGCGTGTCGTCGGCCGCGTTCGGGTCGGAGACGGAGACGGAGACGTCGTCGGAGGTGTACGGGTGTTACGAGAGCGGGTGCCGGAGCGTGAGAGACGCCGTAGGTGGGAAAGAGCCAAAGCTTCTCAACCTTTTTGTTTAATCAAATAATAAAAGGAATCAGTTTTGGTTTTC